TTGGGCTTCTTAAAAAACTAAAATTCACTGTGTCAAGAGATATTCTATCCCAGATGTATATATCTTTTGTTTGACCACAACTTGATTAAGCTGTTGAAGTTTGGTCTGGATGCACAAAAACAGACAGTGAGAATCTTGAAGAAGTACAATTATTTGCTGCAAGAATAGTTACTGGACTTATTAGAGAGAAATTCATTATATTTGGGAACAGGTTGGGAACCATTGGAATATAGAAGAAATAGGGCAAAACTAATAACAATGGTTAAAATGCACAATCATTTAGTACCTACTTATTTGCAAAACTTAGTGCCTGATACAAGAGGCAGTATTTTAGGATACACTACCCGGAATTCTTTAAATTATTCTTTGCCAAAATACAGATTAGAACTCTATAATAAATCATTTATTCCCGATACTGTTAGAAAGTGGAATTCCCTTAGTCTTAAAACAAGGGAGGCAACTTCTATCAAAATTTTTAAAAACTATCTGCAAAATAGTAATGTAAAACCTCAGAAATATTTTTCTTATAGAAAAAGATTTTTGAACATACCAGTAATTCATACAAGATTAAGACATAATTGTATTTTAAATTCTGACTTATATCGCTGTAACCTAATAACCAGTCCTAATTGTTCTTGTGGACTATTAGAAGATGCATATCATTTGTTTTTTGTTTGTAAATATTATGTAAAAGCAAGAAATTCCTTCATGAATAAGCTATTGTCATTTAATTATTTACATGTTATAGATGTACATTTAATGCTATGGGGCGATGATTCTCTTACTATTGAACAAAATGCTGAACTTTTCAAGACTGTTCAAACTTTCTTAAATGAATGTGGTCGTTTTTCAAAATAAGTTTACTTTTTTTTGTCTTATCATCTCAAATTATATTTGAACATTTAAAGATTTTATTTATTTTTTTCTTTCTATTGCTACGATATATACAGTGCATGTAGTAGACCATATGTATATATGGTTTTTTTTTTATTTTGGCAATTTTACAAAATGTTATATTAGGAGAGGACTATCTTTACTTTGTCAATAAAATAAGTTCAATTCAAGAGTAAATAATAGTAAATTTAATACGAGAAACAGTCGTTTCATAACATTCAGCGCCACATTTATGTTTCATTCTTGAAAAAAAAATCCATACAAAAGAAATACTTCAATAAATAAAAAAAATGACTTAGCTTTCGTCCATTTTAAGGACAGATGATACAAACAAATTTTTTCTTCGAAAAAGATTTAATATCATGATACTTGGAAAATAGTAGTAATATTTCAATAAAAAAAACAAATTTTTTCTTAAAAGTGTAATGTAAAAGAAAAATATACCAAGCCAGGTGAATATTGTGAGGAAAAAACAAAATGACAAAAAATTAGCAATATCATATAGGCTGATTTTTACCATTTAGCATTTTCTAATAAAATTTACCTGGCTTGGTATATTTTTCTTAAGTTTATATTACACTTTTAGCACCATGGTAACATATTCTGAAATTTGTTTTCACCTGTAAACCTTTACTAAATGTGATTTGTCTATATTTGTTTTTTTAATGAAATATTACTAATATTTTCTAAGTCTATTTCATTTTCCAGTTCTTAGGAGAAAAAATTCTAAGAACCATCCACTTTTCTAACTTGTGACATGATATTAAATCTTTTTCAAAGAAAAAATTTGTTTGTATCATCTGCCCTTAAAAATGTACTTTCAGTGCTTTACTTTTTTTAAAATATGGCATTAAATCAAAACAATCTTGATTCTGATCAGGATTCACTGAATTAAAAAACAAGATGTGTTTGTGAAACACTATGCGCCCGGCGGCAACAAAGTTAAGAAAACATATTTTTAGCATATAGATCATAGTCAAGGTCACAAGGTCATTGATCTTGGTATCATTTGAAAGAACTTTATCAGTGAAGTATGTAGGCCTTTCAACTGCTGCTAGGGTTCGCTGTTATGAACGATAACTCGTTGCTGAAACTTGTTTAGATCAGGTCCGAGGTATCTAACTGTTTTTACGCAAGTCAGTTTTTAGCATTTTCCAAGTGTTTCTTTGCTGTCAATAGAATCCAGTGATTTTAAAATTTAGCACTAATGTTAGACTTATTTACTGTATAGTTGCGGACACCGTTTAATTAGATATAAGTAAAAATTTTAATTAAAATAAAAAGTGAAATCTACATGTACCCTCCTTCTTAGTTCTAACCTGATTAAATGTTTATACTCGGTCGTTCTTCGTTCTAGGTAACACAAATAAGATAATTAATTGTTGCATTTACTTGTAAAAATATATATATGTATATAGGAAGCGCAAAAGTGCGCACAAAAAAACATGTCATTATATTTTCTTCCTCATAACAATCGACAAAGAGAGTTAAAAATATTGAATATAGTCTGTTCCCCATTCATTTGACCCTGTTCTTTCTGGTAGAGTAAAGACATTCTCCTTCTTTTGGTCAACGCTTTTGTGTACAAAACAATGTAAGGAACCCTTTTGTGTACATAACAATACCAATGCTGAAGTAGCCTATATGTCATTCCTATAAACGATAACTCATAAATCGGCACTTAGTTGGTCATTTTTCACACCTGAGTTACCTGTCCTTAAAACACAACATTGTACAATTCAATTATAAATAATAAAACTTTTTAATGATTCAATTAAATGTATACATAAGTTATTATCTTTTTAAATAATTTCATGTACCTAAAAATCTATCAACGAAATGTTGTTACTGTATGTACAACTTGAAAAATTAGTTGAAAGGCCTAAAGTATGCATACTAAATATGAAGTCTCTATCTCTTATAGTTCAAAAGTTATGGTGAAGGTTAAAAAAAATTTTTTTGCATATAGGACACAGTCAAGGACACAAGGTCATTGACCTTAGTGTCATGTGAAAGGGCTTAATTAGTGGTGTATGCATACCAAATATGAAGTCTCTATCTTTTATGGTTCAAAAGTTATGGCGAAGGTTAAAGTTTGCAGAAAAACTATTTTTAGCATATAGGTCACGGTCAAGGTCACAAGGTCATTGACCTTGGTGTCATTTGAAAGAGCTCAATTAGTCGATTATGCATACTAAATATATAGTCTCTTTCATTCATAGTTTAAAAGTTATGGCGAAGGTAAAAGTTTGCAGACAAACAGACAAACAGATAAACAGACAGACAGACAGGACAAAAACAATATACGCCTCGGATCTTTCGATGCGGGCGCATAAAAATATTAGTAATTTGTACTTGGTACAGCTGTCGCCGGTTTAAAAGTTTAATATATGGAATTTTTCTTGATCACACGTAAAGTTTACAGACTTTAAAAGTTCAGGAACCTGTATCAAAATAAGATATTTTACTAATGAAATGCCGATAAAGGAGAAAACTAGTAAAACTAGTTTTACATAATTTTGCAGTAAGCTCAGTGTTTTATTTTCACCATCCGTAAGTTTTTTTTAGGGGATTCAGATAATGAATTGGGTGTTATTAAAAAGAGACACACAAGGTTTAAGGCGTACAACCAACCTGTAATATGGATCTTATTTAAATGATATTACGGTACACTGCTCAAAGCAAACAGTTGTTAATCAAATATGGCTTCTTAATCTTGTCTCACTGGCGTGCGATTCTATCCAAAGAAAAAAGATTCATAACACCTGCGATCTAAACGGGAATTTTACAAGAGTACAATTTATCTTCTTTTTTTCCTTTTTCAACTGCAGTATTAATAGCATACCATCCATCACTGTCTGTACTGTATATTCATAAGAGCCGTAATACTTTTGTTCGATCAACACCGGTACAGGTGAACTTTAATTGTCTAAATCTAAACCATTCATTCATTTTTTTAAAGAAATAATCTGTAGAAACTTCTTCTTCTCAGAGTATGAGGTTCTGATTTTAGGTTTCTATTATGATATTTTGATCATTTTTTTTTTCAAAAAATTCATGGAATAAAATATGAGGTTAATGAATAGAAATCGAGCTCAAAAGTTCATTTAAACAATACCAGTTGGAGGAAAGAATGCGTGGATCTCTAAAGACATCAGAGATGGGATTAAGTGTTATGGAGGAGTAAGCATCCTTCGTCGACTGGCTACATCCTCATTGTGCACGTGCACAATGTCATGATCGGGGCAAACGGAACAATTCTTAGACAATTCAGTGTGACATTTGACTTAATGATAGATCTCGACTATTAAACTTTTAAAAAATTTTACGAGACTGTTGATTATTTTTTTATGCTTGCTTCATTAACTTGTTTGGAAATGGCTTGCCTCGAAGTAAAACTTGTTCCTACGTAAAGCCCTGAGGGGATACTGCAACATAAGTAAGGGAAGAAAGTTTATGTCATCATGTTTGTTATAAAGCTTGTTGTAAGGTAACCATTACCGCCCGTTTCAGGTAAATTCTTTGTCAAAATTGTCATCAAATGAATTATGAAGATAACGGACAGAAATCAAAATCCCATTGGAAGAATACTACTTAGTTTGGCAAATATTGACCTTTAAGACATCAGTGGTGGGATCAGGTGCCATAGAGAAAAAAATCATATCCTGTAGACTGGTCACACTCGCCGTGTGTTCTAAAGCATGATCGGGCAAATGGAAAAATCTGTAAACAGGTCTATATGAAATTGACGGTCAAAGTGAATGAAGGATAGAAGGACAGACACAGAGAGACGTATAGTTGAAAAGGAATGTATGAGATTATCTAACTGTTAATTATTCAGTTTTGATAAAAAATAAAGATTCAGTGCCGTTGAATACTACATGTTTTAGTGATGTGCTGAATTAAACTCTTGTTTCCTTGGGTTGCTTAAAAGCTTCAATACTAAATTTTAAAAGATTGGTATGCAGTAATTTTATTCTTATGTAGAAGGACATGTGTAGACAAAATGCTAGGGCTTCAATATTTCAAGCAGAAATACTCATAAGAAATAAGTTTAAAAAATTTAAATATTCAATTATTGCTCATATACTTGGTTTATTTTATAGAAAGCTCAGGAAGAGGAAAAATCACTTGATGCTTTGGAAAATAAACCAAAGTTTGAACCATTGAATATCCAGACATTTTTGGAAGAAGCATGTGAATGTCCTGTTGATTTATCTGAGCATGTTGAATCAGTGATTACAGCAATGATGGAAAACTTGGAGGACAACCCACTGGCAGCAACATCCCAGGAGCTATGTCAACCTAATACAATCAGGGAGGGTGAAGAAGAAGAATGTAGCATTGAGCAGGTAAAGCAGAGTTTTTAGATACACTATAACACTGTGCATGGAAATTAAATTTTATGCATATTTTTTCATTGCTTAAGCAACTAGTAGTATATTTGACATGCTTTGAATATCCTCTGCTTCCCTACAAAAAAAATTCTTCTTTATATATTTTTAAAACATTTATGACGACATGAATTATGAAACAAATCTGATGATTTTGTAGGTTTTTGATATGACCCGTGAAGTACATGTATAATGAATTAAATGTTAAGGACAGCGGTGTAGCAACCTCTAATGATAAAACGCCGCTTAATGATACAAACAGCATTAAGCGTTGCAATTGCAACGCTTAATGCCATAAATTATTGCATTAATAGCTGACATTATCAACCGCTAATGCTAAATCGCCGCTTAATGACAGAATTATATCATTAAGCGTCACAAATGCAGTGCAACATCGACGCTTAATGAAACAAGCAAATATCGACATATTCGACGCTTAATGATACACACTAGTGTATCATTAAGCGTTGCAGTTGCAACCCTTAATGAAATAAGATTTAGAAATCGCTTATAATTTCTAAGAGAAACACACATCCACCTTTCCTGAACAATGAGATATCACTTGTCAAAATATTTATATATGCCCTTGTGCTATATAAATGGTAATTATTGAAGTTTTACTGTGTTTTCTATCTAGTCAAGGGAACGTCTTGAAGCCCCGGATATTTAAGAGACAGACAGTCAGATAGCTGGAAGAAAGAGATACAAACAAAGGGATAAATAAAATGATATTCAAATCCTTTAAAAGAACCATTTTTTTTACTGAAAATACATAGGCAAACAAGCAATTAAATTCCTTTTAATTTGATACAATGATTTGAATATCATATTTGAATATCTTTATCGAAACTTTGTATTTTAGATTTGATACAGCTTAACACATATCACTGTTAATGTTTTAGATATACGTATCGATATTTTCACTATTGCTTCGTTTCTCCACATCCGAAAAAGAGAGACATAAATATTGACAACTTATGTTTAAGGATATATAACAAAGAATACAAGTACATGTAATACAAAGAATAATATATATTGTGTTGAGAAAAAGGTTCATATATGCTTTAATTGTGAGCAGTGTTACTTGAATACATCACTGTTGCATGATTATTTTAGAATTAATTTTGAATTCTAGTATATATCAAATTACAATATATATATTGACTGAGGTTGAAGAGGCTGTTTTTTTTTAAATTCTAAATGACGCATATTTCATTTGTAATATATTTTTTTTCTTTCGATATATAAGACTAAGTTTACATCTGACTAATATTAGAATGAAATAGATTTAAATGAATAAAGTTCTTTTTAGGTACAGGATAGACCCTCTCTATTAATACTAGTATTCATCAGAAGTATTTCGTTCACTGCAAATGGGTATTGAAAGGTCCGACTATGCTATACTTGCATTAGTTAATACTTTAATGAGCTACAAAATATTCTCGTCTCATGCAACTACGGCCAGAATGGGAGAGGATCATACATTTTGACCGTGGTTAGCGACGTTCCAAAGTTTTCACTATAGCAAATGAAAGTTCCAAAGTTTTTACCTTGGTTCTTTAGTTAATTATATTAAACTATAATAAACTATATAGTTTTCCATAGAATTTTTTTTGTTAATGACATGTCCGCTATTTAACGTCAGCCGTGAGTAAAAAAAAAACTGTCTAAATTTCAGACTTATAAGCAGAACCGACTAACAGGCGAGTATAAATGGTACATGTATACCGAAATAAATCATTCTTTACTGAAAATTGCAGTGGAGACACACTGAAATCTTTCTAGTTAGGAATAGAATTAACAACTTTTGAATAATATAAGAAATTATTCTTTCTATTTATTCCAAACATAAAGTACAATGCTTTGATATGCTTGGATTTTTGGTATTTAAGGCATAGCATTCTTGGCGCTACATAATTAGATGTTAAATCGATCCCACTTGGTCACTAGCTCATCTGACTCTATACATATAAAGTAGCACAAATGCAAGGAAAGAAAGAAACACAGAAGTCTTTCTGTGTGCTGTCTAGTTGGCAAAAATAAGCACGAGTTAGAGTTCTTATTGCAATGACATTTATTTAATTTTCATTTTTATCGTTATAAAAAACAATACTTTGATTGGAAATAGTTACTTTAAGACCCTGGGTAGCACATGTAATTTAGATGATAAAAAGAAACTTAAGTTGCATATAAAGCAAATCTGTGGCAAAATTTTCCAGGTAAAGGGGAGGGCCTCAAAAAATGGAAAATAAAAATCCCTAATCTTACCAAAAACATTAAAGAAATATTTAATTTAAGTAGGATTCTTCTCTGGTTTCTGACTATATGGAATATTCAAATTATATTTGTTGATATGTCATATATTTAGATGTAAGAGGTTTAAAAGACCATATATTTCTTTCCTCATCACAATTATACAACTTGAAATAGAAATGGTAAACTACGTTTGAAAACTAGCAGGGACTATATTTTTGGCGGAATGGTGGCGTATGAAAATATCTTCTTTTCTGCCTATCAGAATTATTATAGAACATTGAATTTAGTTATGATTTTTACGCAATCAAAGACTAGACGAAATTTTCAAATGTAAGTTAAATTACTAATAAGGGACTAAAGTTTCAAAATATATCAAATATACAAGATTTTTCACACATACCAGAACTTTGTTTGCTTTTAAATGCTTCAAATCCAAGTATTCAGATTTGAGCCAAAAATCCGTAAAAAGTGTTATCTTAGAAAACGATCAAAACTATTAGTTTTTGTATCATTTTGTACCTTTATGTGCCAACTTTACTATATGTGAAAGTTGGAGAGATTTGAATATAGAAAGCATATAAAATTAACTTATAAATCCTAAAAAATTAAGAAAAATAGAGGATATTCGGATTAGCAAATATTCATTTTATTTAAATTACCCACGTCAATTTGGTAATATCATCTTAAAGGCCCTATATGGTAGTATCTTTTTATGCAAAAATAAGAAAAAAATATCTTTTGAACTGCAAGTAGGGATCGCATTATTGGAAACAGTAATTTTTAGTTCTACTGGTCAGAGACTAGAAGAGCTTATGCGATGGTAATGCGTTCGTCCGTCTAGCTGTCTAGCTGTCCGTCTGTCTGTAAACAATTTTTTAAAACGCTACTCCTCCTATAGTTTTGATCTGATTTCAATATAACAAATTGGCACTTTTTCAAGAGATACAAAACATATTATTAAGGAACGTGTCGTCTGACCTCAATGTCCAGGAAAAAGGTAATGACCTTGACCTGACCTTGCCTCTAATATTAAATTTATTCTATCTGATACCATCACTTAGAAATATTGTCCTCTTGATTCTGAGAACATTTTATTAATTTTTAAATACAAGAAATGTGAGAAGAATCCTACCTTAACCAATATAAAATATTTATTAATGTAAAATAACCCCTACCCCATCCCATCCCGACGCTTACAAACATACTTTGTCTCATTAGTTCTCCTTAAATTGAAAACTTCCATTAAACTACAGCGTAGTTTGATCGGCTTTTTTTAAATTTTGATGAGAAGGTCGGTGATGTTACATTGGACGACAAACTGAAATTTAGAGGGTTTTTTCACGGCTGGCGTAAAAAAAACCGAACATATCCTTTAAAAAAAATACCACAGTTAACTATTGTTTACTTTAGTTAACTATAGTATCAAAGTAAACATTTAGAAACATAAAAGGAACAGGACCATTTCTCTAAAAGAATAAAGTACAAGAAATGAACATGCATTAATAGAGAGGGTCTCTCTTATACCGAAAAAAGAACTATTTATTTAAATCTATTTCATTTTAATATTAGTCAGATGTAAACTTTCACGAAACTGATAATAGTATATGCCAGTATAGTCTACTTGCATGCCAAATTATATTACAATCTGACTAAAACTGTAGAAGGATTAGCATTTTGAAAGTACATCACGGAAATTTTCTATTTTAGTAACCACGGCAACACCGTTGATCGAAATCACAAACCGATATCTTTAAATGTAGTCTACATGTGAGCTAAGTTATTTTGAAATCAGACAAAAAATGTTGGATAAGTAGCATTTTATTATATTATTTCTATTTTTAGTAACTAAGGCAACACCGTTCAAAGAAATCAAAAATCGATACAGAAATTAATAAGTATATTAGTTAGTCTACTTGTGTGCCAAGTTATATTGAAATCAGACCAAAACTGCAGGAGGAGTAGCATTTTGAAAAATTGTTTACAGGCAGACGGACAGACAGACAGGCAAATATACTACAAAATGGAGTATGCGTCATTTACAATTTAAAAAAAAAATCAGCTTCATCAACTTCATTCGACATGTATTTTACAATTTGATAATTATATACATGTAATAGTTTTCAAAATTGATTCTAAAATAATCATGCCACAGTAATGTATCCATGTAAAATTAATAACAAATAAAGGATGAATGAACCTTTTTCTCAAAATAATGTATCATTCAATGTATTGCATTCATTTGTATTCTTTGTGTTTTATATACTTAAACATAGATTTGGAGAAACGAAGCAGATTAATACGGAAGCGTATTGCTGCCACTTGAACAAAAAATATTGTAAGTCGTATGTTCGAGTTAATAAGTCATACGAACGAGATAATAAGACGTACGTAGGAGAAAATAAGTCCTACGTACGACATACTAAGTCGTACGAACGAGATACTATGTCGTACGTACGACATAATAAGTCGTACGTACGACAAGATAAGTCGTACGTACGACATAATATTAAGTCGTACATACGACACAGTATTAAGTCGTACATACGACATAATAAGTCGTACGTACGACATAATATTAAGTCGTATGTACGACATAATAAGTCGAACGAACGAAATACTAAGTCGTACGAACGAGATACTATGTCGTATGTATCACATAATAAGTCGTACGAACGAGATACTAAGTCGTACGTACGAGATAA